TTTATCTTTACATTTTTTGTTATTATTTTATTCAGCATGTCCGTCTTCCCTTTCCTTGAAAATGCATTTCTTTGATCATTCCCAAGATTCTGTATTCTTTTTTTTTTCCTTTGTCCCAATTATCACTTCTGTGGAGACTGAAATTGTTAACACCACAGGATGGTATGGTAAACCTTAAGAAAGCAGCCAGGGAAGGGGGAAAAAGGGATGGGGGAAGGGAAGACAAAACGATCCATCGATCGATCTGCCGTTTCTCTGCCTGTTTATCCCGACCACTCCGAGCTCTTTTCCGGCAGGAAACTGTTGCCTCTTCCATTCTTGAAAACCTTTCATTCTTGAAAACCTTTCATTCTTGAAAACCTTTCATTCTTGAAAACCTTTCATTCTTAATTAGCTTTCTTTGATCTTTATTTCCATGCGACATTGCCTTATGCTCTTCAATTGCATCAGGGAGGAAGAAAAAAAAGGGAGGTGGGGAGTGGGAGGGGGGGGGGGTGGGGACTGCGTGGTCTCGATGCATTGTGTCCGCCTGGAGTGCTAGAGGTGCCGCGTTCAATCCCCGGTAAGTGCTGAGAATTTTTCACGTGGACTTGAATTGGACTTCAACAAATTTCCCCTGATCATTGTGTAGTGAGATCGGACGCACGTGTGCATTGTCGCGCACGTAAAAAAAATCCCTTGGCAATAGGAAATCGAAAAGAGTAGCCTAACGGCACTGCCTGGGCTAAACTTTCAGTTAAAAATCTACTCAAAGTATTTCAGGCTCCTCGCCGGTGCTACAGAGCCTGTTCACTGTGCTGAGCATCTTTGGACTCAGACTTGAGTTAGAAGAAGAACGGAGCACTTATGGGTTACTACCCGTGTGCCATGATGTTGATCCGTTGTTCGAAATCTCAAAAAACCTTTCATTGCATCGCTGCTGTCTATGAATTAAGTTTTTTCTGTCTGTCTGTCTGTCTGTCTGTCTGTCTGTCTGTCTGTCTGTCTGTCTGTCTGTCTGTCTGTCTGTCTGTCTGTCTGTCTGTCTGTCTGTCTGTCTGTCTGTCTGTCTGTCTGTCTGTCTGTCTGTCTGTCTGTCTGTCTGTCTGTCTGTCTGTCTGTCTGTCTGTCTGTCTGTCTGTCTGTCTTTCTTTCGCTGTTTTCTTCTTCTTCTTTGTTTGTTTTTTGCACGTTTGTTTGTGTTTCTTTCTTTCTATCCTTCTTTCATTCAATTTTTCTTTCGTTTTGTTTTCTTGTTCCTCTTTGTTTGTTTGCAAGTTTATTAGTTTGTTTCTTACTGTCTGCCTGTCTGTCTCTTTGTTTATATCTATGTCTATATTTTTTGTCTATATGTCTGTCTGTTCTTTTTCTTTATGCATGTATGTCTTTAATTGCTTATCTGCCATCCATGTATTGTGTTGTCTGCATCCAGGATCTAAAGAATAGTTTGGATCTATTTATTCTTTAGTCCAGACCTAAATACTGAAGCACAGATCAAGCCAAATCTGTACACGGTCGTGCACGCAAAACTCGTGTTCTGAAAGAAAATTAAAGTCCTGAAGTGGACGAACAATCAAAGTTCAGACCTAAATAATGACGTTCTTATCTATTCTCAGAAGTTCAGACCTAAATAATGACGTTCTTATATATTCTCGGAAGTTCAGACCTAAATAATGACGTTATTTCCACTCCCGGAAGTTCAAACCTAAATTCTGAATTTCAGACCTAATATTTGAACTAGAAAATTACCCTTTGAAGTTCAAACCAAAAAGTTTCGATTGCATTTCTGAAGTTCACTCTTAATCTCTGAAGTTCTGATGTTTCAGATCTGATCAAGACCTATTATAAACATAAATCTCTGGTCCCATAATTTTATGGAAAACTTGGCAAATATATTTTCACACTGTCCAGCATTTACATATTAATGTGCCAACAGATTGTTATTCCGCCGCACATGATTGGCTCGCTTACAGCGTTTATTAAGTCTGTCACTATGGAAACAATGGTACAAGCTCCTCCTATATGCAGAAGTCTAAAATACAAGTGTTCTTAAAATATAACTTGTGTCTAGTTGGTGTGAATTTTGGTGTGAATTTTATTTTATCCAGCAGTCTTTACCCATTACAGAGAATTAAAGAGAAAGTGTAGCACACAAGCAGAGGATAACTTATTTCAAAAGTACTATTAGCAGAAGGCAATCAAACGTTTAGGATAAAAGGGTAGCCATGAAACAATGTGAGAACCTCTCTACGGATAGTATAAAGTATTTGGGGCACACTCATATGTGGATTCCCTGGAGCAACATTAGGTAAGTTTCGGTGACAATAATGGCTTGTGGGACCAAGCTCAGGGCATTGTTTTGATACACCAGGATTTAAATTGATTAATGTCTCACAGAAAGTGAAATAGAAATGATTAAGGAAAGAGGTCAGCCCGCGGTATTTATCATAGAATCAAGGACGAAGGGTTACGATACACATAATACTGAGCCTAAGGGTTAACAACTCATGGCTTTTGGATACTAAAAAAAAAACACATACATACATATACTTACATATACTTACATATACTTACATATACATATAAAGGTACTAATTTTTCATGCGATTGTGAGTTTGTCACAGTTACTTCACTATTGTTTTTATCCCTGATGGGAGTTACGATAAAAGTAAAGAGTAGAGCAAAAATCCATTTTCACGCTTTTAAGGCCCATCTGGTATAAATGAAAAGCACTCATATTTTCACAGACCAGTCGGCACTAGTCGGCTCTGTGGCTAAGTCGATGCGAACGCTTCGTAATGCCGGGGTGCCTGGTTCGATCCCAGCTGCGGGCCGTGCGCATTGCGTTAGTTTCGACAGTGGTATCAAAAAGCCGACTGTCAGAAAGCAAAGGCAAAAAAAACGGACGTAAATTTGCCTAGAGAAACCACACAATAGCCAGGGGCTGCTGGGGTTGGTTCTGTAACGTCCTGTAAAGGATACGCAACTAACCTTTAGATCGGCACTAGGTGGATAATGTAGTTAGCGTTACACCGGCCGTCTTTACTTCATCAAGACATAAATCCTGTACCCATTTTAGGCTGGGTCGACCTGCGACGCCCCGCACCCAGGTACAAAATCCACCCTGCCAGGTTTCGATCGCGGTACGTTCAAATTACGAGTCGGATTCGCAATACTTAAGCCACGGACGCAGCATATTGATTATATCGTGAATATATAGCAGAACAGAGGGAAAAAATGTGGAAAATTCCACTTCCAACTACGGTAGGGGCTACTTCGTCCTTCTTTTGTGATTGCCTTGAAAGAGCTGTTGAAACAACCTGTGATTGTTTGTAGCTAGACTATGATACATGTCCCTTTAGGCTCAACACATTGCATTTGATCAGCATGAATAAGTCGCCTTTCACCATGTGCTCTTTTACTTTGCAGTGCGTCTATTCTACGCCCTCCTCTCAATCGCCCACCCTAAACCAAAGATGCAACCATGAAGCCATTACGGGAAAGCATGGCTCCATTCAGCACAAACCTTGTATATAATAGTATTCACGACAGAAGTTACCGTTGTCTTTCTTCGATCTATACGGTTAAAAAAGGGTCCATTCCCTACAGTCACTAATTTTAGAATTAACTCCTTTTTTCCTCTTAGTCGTTGGTCAGACTTAAGTCGAGGTTCTAATATCACTCTAAAACGTCGCCTCAGACTGTTTCGTTTTTGTGTCAGTGAATATCACACAAAATGTCTTTTACTGTTCCATTTAAAAATAATGAAAAATAGGTCACCCCCAACGAAACTGTGAAGCCTGCACTAGAAAGTAAAAATGCATAAGGCAGCTATGAGATAAGCCAACATTTACGGTCCCAAGCTAGAACTGCAGCTCACAGTTGGTACAAACAGTCATTTATAAAATCCGGCATTGTGTACAAAAAAGTACCCACCATTCTTAACGTAATCGGCTACCCGACATCTAAGGGCTGTCATTAAAACCCCGCGTTTACAACATAATATTTTTTTTACATGAAATCCACAGCTCACAGTGCCGCATACAGCACTTAGCGTAGTCACTCGGCAATGGAGCTTTTGGACTTCCCCATCCAGAATTGGAGAATCTGTATCAGCAAAAATTAAGCTGAAAAAGGATATCTACAAATATTTCTCCTCATTATTCTGTAATCATTGTGTATCTGCTAAAATTTTCCCTCATTATTCTGTTATCATTGTGTATCTGCAAACATTTCTCCTCATTATTCTGTTATCATTGTGTATCTGCAAACATTTCTCCTCATTATTCTGTTATAATTGTGTATCTGCAAACATTTCTCCTCATTATTATGTTATCATTGTATATCTGCTAACATTTCTCCTCATTATTCTGTTATCATTGTATATCTTCTAACATTTCTTCTCATTATTTTGTTATCATTGTATATCTGCTAACATTTCTCCTCATTATTCTGTTATCATTGTATATCTGCTAACATTTCTCCTCATTATTCTGTTTTCATTGTGTATCTGCTAACAGTTCTCCTCAATATTCTGTTATCATTGTGTATCTGCTAACATTTCTCCTCATTATTCTGCTATCATTGTGTATCTAATAAAAATTCTCCTCATTATTCTGTTATCATAGTGTATCTGCAAAAAATTTTTCTCATTATTCTGTTATCATTGTGTATCTAAAAAATTTCTCCTCATTATTCTGTTATCATTGTGTATCTGCTAACATTTCTCCTCATTATTCTGTTATCATTGTGTATCTGCTAACATTTCTCCTCATTATTCTGTTATCATTGTGTATCTGCTAACATTTCTCCTTATTATTCTGGTATCATTGTGTATCTGCTAACATTTATCCTCATTATTCTGTTATCATTGTGTATCTGCTAACATTTCTCCTCATTATTCTGCTATCATTGTGTATCTAAAAAAAATTTATCCTCATTATTCTGTTATCATTGTTTATCAACAGATTTTAATCACCATGATCCTGATTGTTATTCTGGGTGCCGCCCTGTTTCCAGCAATGGCGTTAGCCCAGGTTGAAGGTTAGTTTCTGCGTGTTGTTGAAGTGTAATGCTACTGCTGCTGTTGCTACTACCACCATTATTAGAGCTTGTGCTGCTGCTGATACTACTAATGCTGCTACTACTACTTCCTAAATACTGCGGCTTCTACTACCACCACCACTACTTCCTGAATACTGCTGCTTCTACTACGACCACCACTACTTCCTGAATACTGCTGCTTCTACTACGACCACCACTACCTCCTGAATACTGCTGCTTCTACTACTACAATCACTACTTCCTGAATACTGCTGCTTCTTCTACGACCACCACTACTAATGCTATTGCTGCAGCTGCGGCTGCTACGACTACCGCTGCTTCTGCTACTAGTACTATTTTTTTTACAACTACTATTACAATCTATATTAATAAAAATGTAAATTTTCCGATGTTGTTAACTAAAAACTCGGAAACTACTGAACCGATTGCTTTCACATTTGCACACAACGTTGCCTCTGACTCAAAGCGTGATTTTTTTGTCAGAAAATCGCACAAACCATGAACGACGTAGCTCCAGCAACTGTCAAATAATTATTTGTTTCGTTGCCGGCCCGGATTATTTTTAGTTGATTGACCATATCTGACTGCTGAGCTATTATTGAACTATGCATTATTAAATAATTTCATTTCCACTACCTGTTTGAGTGTTTGGTAGCGTAGTTGGTAACTATTTTGCCTACCATGCGAGTGACCCGCGTTCGATTCCCCGCAAGGTGATATATTTTATTTAGCCCCCCAACTGGGCGGCGGGCACGTTGTGTTGTGGTTTATTGCTAGGCTGCGATATCTACGCCTTTTTCGGTTTTGAGGTTTACAGCTAGCCTGTGACAGCAGCGACGTGATGCTCAATGGTCATGTCACAGGTAATCTTCGTTCGCCCTCGAGAGGGCCGTCGGTATTGGTTAACAGCTAGGCTGCGATATCTGACCTAAACTCTTCAGTCGTCGGTAGTATAGTTGTAAGTATGTCATCCTTCACGCTGGTGACCGGTGTTCGATTCCCCGCTGGGTGATAATTGTTCTGTTTTCCCTTAAAAAGGGTGGTTGCCACTTTGTGTTGTTGTTTACAGCTAGGCTGCGATATCTGCGCCTTTCGCCCAAAGACACCTGATTTCAGTTAAGTCCAACTAAGCCTCACCGCGACTCTTCTCTATCAAAAACTATTCGGCGATGAGAGAAACTGTTAACTAAGACGGCTTAGAATCCAGTTTAGTTTGGGTGGACACGGATGCCAAGGTCAGGAGAGGGTAAGATGACGGGTGCGGGGTATTTTTTCTCCCCTATTCGTGAATATAGTGTACTTTTCACTGTGGGTTCCATCACTGGTTACGTGATGAAGTTTTTTTTTTTTTCCTATGTCTGGGGCAAAATTAAACTAAATAGTCCGTGGCGACAGCATGCGGCGCTAATTCCTCTTTTCTACACCGACAACACAGACTGTAGTGACCGTTTTTGTTGTTGTTGTTTTTGTTGTGGTGGTGGTGGTGGTAGTGGTTGCAGTAGTAACGGTACTGGATGGATGATGTGGTAGCTGTTACACTACCTACATTTACTTCTCTGTACAAGTTAAGGCTGCCTATTTAAGTCTGCGTGGACACGCATGGCAAGCTCAATTTAGTTACAATATTTCGTTACACTGTGACTTTCCCATCCTTCGAAGAGGATGATATGATTGGGGGCGGGTGGGGGGGGGGGGGGGGGGAGGGGGGGGGGGTTATGCCAGACACAGTTAGCTGAGAGAGCTCAAAATATTATTTTAAATCTACTAATTTCGCCAGGTGATGATTTTCTCAACGACATATTCTCTTCTCCAACAGCTGGGCAGTTACCGTCACTGACATATTCTCTCCTCCAACAGCTGGGCAGTTACCGTCACTGACAAATTTTCTCCTCCAACAGCTGGGCAGTTACCGTCACTGATATATTCTCTTCTCCAACAGCTGGAAGTTTACCGTCACTGACATATTCTCTTCTCCAACAGCTGGAATGTTACTGTCACTGACATATTCTCCCCTCCAACAGCTGGGCAGTTACCGTCACTGACATATTCTCTCCTCCAACAGCTGGGCAGTTACCGTCACTGACATATTCCCTTCTCCAACAGCTGGAATGTTAATACCACTGACATATTCTCTCCTCCAACAGCTGGGCAGTTACCGTCGCTGACATATTCTCTCCTCCAACAGCTGGGCAGTTACCGTCACTGACATATTCTCTTCTCCAACAGCTGGAATGTTAATGTCACTGACATATTCTCTCCTCCAACAGCTGGGCAGTAACCGTCACTGACATATTCTCTTCTTCAACAGCTGGAATGTTAATGTCACTGACATATTCTCTCCTCCAACAGCTGGAATGCTACCGTCACTGAAATTTTCTCTCCTCCAACAGCTGGAATGTTAATGTCACCGACATATTCTATTCTCCAACAGCTGGGCAGTTACCGTCACTGACATATTCTCTTCTCCCATCCCATAGCTGGGCAGATCGCCTTCTCGGTAGCGTTCAGAGAAGAGACTACTCTCCTGGCAGACAAGGTGGTGAAGTACTCACACATCTACACTAACCATGGAGGCGCCTACAGCAAGGCTGCGGGGATCTTCCGAGTGCCGCGGGTAAGTCGGGGTCCATAGTCCTCAGATTTTAAACAAGGTTTGAGGTTTTGAACTACGGAACAACATCATGGCACACGGGTAGTAACCCATAAGTGCTCCGTTCGTCTTCTAACTCACGTCTAATTCAGAAGAAGCTCAGCACAGTACACTTGTGCTGTAGCACCTGCGAGGATCCTGAAATACTTTGGGTAGATATTTAAATTCAAATTTTGCCCGGGCAGCGCCTTTGAGTTTTTTTGTTTTTTTTTCGATTTCCAGCTGCCAAGGGATTTTTTGCGTGCTCAACAATGCACACGAGGGTCAGATCTCAATACCATTTTTCACGCAGCTGTTGTATTTTTGTTAATCAATAAAGCATGTTAATTTCATGTAATATTATGCATATTAAAAACACAAAAACATGGGTGGTAAAATGCATTTCCGAACTCGCGTATGCACACACACATATTCACATACACGCGCAAACCCTTACTTACACACAAATATGCATCCACACACACACACACACACACACACATATATATATATATATATATATATATATATATATATATATATATATATCCACACACATCCACATACTTTAATACCTACTTGCATAGCTATATACATACTTACCTACATGCATACATACACACAAACACACACACACACACTCATATATATATACATACACAGACACTAACAAAAATACAGATATATACCTAAATACGTACGTGGGTACACTCATACACACACTGTCACACACAGGTATAGACACACAAACACACACACTTAAAAACACACACGCAGCCACATACGGAGATACATACACACACACAAACATACATACACGCAGCTGCACATACAGACGCTTATAAACACTCACAATGAACCACACAAACACTTAGTAAATTCTATATATTTTGCACAGCTAGTGTGTACGGAAGATATGGCGAGCATTATTATGTAAGTGTCGATCATATGACATTCTTATCTAAACCTCATATACCTAGGCGCATCATACCAGGGAAGCTGACCTGGCCTAGCCGCTAGGCCAATGCCTGCCAGTTTCAAGGTCCTAGGTTCAGAAACAATTAATACATTAATTCGTCTTCATGGCTGACGCAGCCAAAGATGAGTTATAATACTGTCAAAATAGTTGCATTTTTTTTAAAGGAAAGAAACCTATTCCAAGCTTTCAGCGTATTAGGCACATAGGGCTTGACCTATATTTTATAGACTGTTCGGCACTCGGTGGGTGATGTGGTCAGCATCACACCGGCCGCGCTTACTTCTCAGGATATCACCTTGTACCAATTTAAAGCTTGGCTGACCTAACAGCCAAGGTCATTTTTGAAAGAAAAAAAGGTATTGTGGATTTACAACCTGCAAATCCACAGCTGAGCGCCTACCAGCAATGTCACTGGAAGTAAAGTCGGAAGACGTTATGCTGACAACATCACACTTCAAGTGCTGATCTCTCTATAAAAGTAGTAATCTGATATCATGCACCTGGAGCTCCAGTTGCAATGAAAGGGCCCTCTATTGTTAGGTCAATAAATCAATTCATCTCATGTGATTTTCATGCTTGGACTTATTGAAAAAGAAGGAGACGACGCCTCATAAGTCCTATCTTTTACCCACAGAACGGGATGTATGTTTTCAATCTCCACGGCAAAACCCAGAGCGGGAAAGAGCTGCACTTGGATCTCTACCACAACGATAAATATTTGATTTCAGCCTTTACCAGAGATTCCTCCCAGTCTCAGAGTGGGGGTAAGTCTTGTATGACATTCTCACTGTCCTCACAGTCTCCGAGTGGAGTTAGGTCTTGTATGACATTCTCACTGTCTCAGAGTGAAGGTAAGTCTTGTATGACATTCTCACTGTCTCAGAGTGGAGTTAAGTATTGTACGACATTCTCACTCTCCTCCCAGTCTCAGAGTGGAATTAAGTCTTGTATGACATTCTCACTCTCCTCACTGTCTCAGAGTGGAGTTAAGTCTTGTATGATATTCTCACTGACTCAGAGTGGAGGTAAGTCTTGTATGACATTCTGACTGTCTCAGAGTGGAGGTAAGTCTTGTATGACATTCTCACTGTCTCCGAGTGGAGGTAAGTCTTGTATGACATTCTCACGGTCCTCACTGTCTCTGAGTGGAGGTAAGTCTTGTATGACATTTTCACTGTCTCAGAGTGGAGTTAAGTCGTGTAAGACATTCTCACTGTCTCCTAGTGGAGGTAAGTCTTGTATGACATTCTCACTGTCCTCACTGTCTCCGAGTAGAGGTAGGTCTTGTATGACATTCTCACTGTCCTCACTGTCTCCTAGTGGAGGTTAGTCTTGTATGACATTCTCACTGTTCTCACTGTCTCCGAGTGGAGGTAGGTCTTGTATGACATTCTCACTGTCCTCACTCTCTCCGAGTGGAGGTAAGTCTTGTATGACATTCTCACTGTCCTTACTGTCTTTGAGTGGAGGTAAGTCTTGTATGACATTCTCACTGTCCTCACTGTCTCTTAGTGGAGGTAAGTCTTGTATGACATTCTCACTGTCCTCACTGTCTCCGAGTGGAGGTAAGTTTTGTATGACATTCTCACTGTCTCAGAGTGAAGGTAAGTCTTGTATGACATTCTCACTGTCCTCACTGTCTCCGAGTGGAGGTAAGTCTTGTATGACATTCTCACTGTCCTCACTGTCTCAGAGTGAAGGTAAGTCTTGTATGACATTCTCATTGTCCTCACTGTCTCCGAGTGGAGGTAAGTCTTGAATGACACATTCTCAATGTCCTCACTGTCTCAGAGTGAAGGTAAGTCTTGTATGACATTCTCACTGTCTCAGAGTGGAGTTAAGACTTGTATAACATTCTCACTGTCTCAGAGTGGAGGAAGGTCTTGTATGACATTCTCACTGTCCTCACTGTCTCAGAGTGGATTTAGGTTTTGTATGACATTCACACTCTCCTCACTGTCTCAGAGTGGAGGTAGGTCTTGTATGACATTCTGACTCTCCTCACTGTCTCAGAGTGGATGTAAGTCTTGTATGACATTCTCACTGTCTCAAAGTGAAGGTAAGTCTTGTAAGACATTCTCACTGTCTCCGAGTAGACGTCAGTCTTGTATGACATTCTCACTTTCTCAGAGTGGAGGTAAGTCTTGTATGACGTTTTCACTGTCTTAGAGTTGATGTAAGTCTTGTATGACATTCCCACTGTCTCACAGTGGAGGTAAGTCTTGTATAACATTCTCACTTTCTCAGAGTGGAGGTAAGTCTTGTATGACATTCTCACAGTCTCAGAGTAGAGGTAAGTCTTGTATGCCATTCTCAATCTCTCAGAGTGGAGGTAAGTCTAGTATGGCATTCTTGCTGTCTCCAAGTGGACGTAAGTCTTGTATGACATTCTCACTGTCTCAGAGTGGAGGTAAGTCTTGTATGCCATTGTCAATATCTCAGAGTGGAGGTAAGTCTAGTATGGCATTCTTGCTGTCTCCAAGTGGAGGTAAGTCTTGTATGCCATTCTCAATCTCTCAGAGTGGAGGTAAGTATTTTATAACATTCTCACTGTCCTCACTGTCTCAGAGTGGAGGTAAGTCTTGTATGGCATTCTCCCAGTCTAATAATGCACGTAATCTTGTTTGACATTTTTGCTGTCTTAGAGTGAAGGTATGTCTTCAATGATATTCTCTAAATATAAGAGTTAAGTAATTTTGTGTGACATTCTCCCAGTCTCAGGGTGAAGGTAAGTTTGTATGACATTTTCCAGTCTCATAGTTAAAATAAGTTTGTAAGATGTTCTCCCAGTCTCAGAGTTACGGTAAGTTTGTATGACATTTTCCCAGTCTCAGAGAGAAGGACAGTTTGTATGACATTCTCTCAGTCTCAGAGTGAAGGTAAGTTTGTATGACATTTTCCCAGCCTCAGAGTTAAGGTAAGTTTGTATGACATTGTCCCAGTCTCAGAGAGAAAGACAGTTTGTATGACATTCTCTCAGTCTCAGAGTGAAGGTAAGTTTGTATGACATTTTCCCAGCCTCAGAGTTAAGGTAAGTTTGTATGACATTCTCCCAGTCTCAGAGAGAAGGACAGTTTGTATGACATTTTCTCAGTCTCAGAGTGAGGGTAAGCTTGTGCTACATTATCCTAGTATCCCAGTCTCAGAGTGGAGATACGTGTGTGACAGTCTCACTGTCTAAGGCGTAAAAAAAAAATAAGGGGGAGGGGGTGTAGGATGTTGGGGGGGGGGGGGGTGTAGGAATTTGTCGTGGTCATATATTAGCCACCTGGAAACAACAGTTTGAAGACCACTGATCTAGAAAACTGCTTGACAACCAGAATGTTTAAGGCTTTAGACCTGGCTGAGCAGGAGTTTATTTGGAAAAATAAGCTCGGCTTCTTAGTCGACCCAGCCTTGAGTGGGGACCAGATATATTTGTGGGAAGTAAAAGCGGCGGGCAGGATGTTGACTACATCACCCACCGAGTGACGATTGGTCTATAAAATATAGATCTGGCCCTCAATACTTAATACGCCTGAGATCGTGGAAAAGGGTACTTCGAGATGTTTAGACCGTAATCCTTGGAAAGACCAAAGGTCAACTCGGTATAAGTGGGTAGCGAGAAACGTCACGGGAAGTAAAAGCGGCCGGCAGCATTTTGGCCAAATAAGTTTTCGACTCCAAATTGTTTCTGTTAAATATAGGCATGGTACCAAATGTCGCATTTGCCAATGGCAAGAAAAAAAAAGGTTGTTTACTTGGCTTGACTCACCATGATGTGACCAGAGGTAAACAGTTCTGAATTCGTTGATTCTCCGTGGACGGAAACTGTTAGATTGTAGAAGTGGTACTTGTATTTTATAGTGGTGTTCTATGGATTGAATGGGATGGGAATTTCATGATAAAATGCAACTGGCTAGATAAGCTCTTCATTCAGAGATCTAGATTATGTGAAGGCATACTCATCATCATTATCAAGTACCTTGCCGATTCAACTGGCGTGGGCGATCATGCCTTTACACAATTTGCGATCCATAACTGATTGTATCAGTTCGTTTGTTGAAACCCTCGTTGACATAACAGAAGCGGGCAAGAATCTCGCGCTGTCTTCCTCTATATCTCTTTCCCCAGATCTTCCGAGTGGTCACAAAATGTCAAGTTTTCTCTTTTCTCATTATCATAGTCACAAATGTTGGCTGTCTCTTTCTGATGTTGGTGATAAGACATACTACTGTATACTGTATTGACAGCGTTTAGAGTTGCACAATTAATTATTTCTATTTAATATTTAACTTTATCTAGGGCTTTATTTCCCTAGCGAAAAAACGGTGCCGGTACTCACAATAAAGGAAGCCGCCGTGGTGAAGCTGCTAGAGGCTCGCCTGTGGATTCGAAGGTTGTGAATTCAGGTCCCGACGGAGCCGAGCGTTTAATATGAAAAAAAATTGATTTTAGCTTCCAGGTTGACCTAACATTAAATAAATACCAGGTAAAGTCCTGGGAAGAAAAGGCGGCTGGCGTGATGTTGACCACATCACACGTAGTGCAGATTGGTCTATAAAATGTATGTCTAGCCCGTTATGCCCAACACGCATAAAGGCATGGCACAGGGTTCTTTACTTTACTCACTCACCAAAAGGTATTTGTACTAAGCACACTTTATGTCTATTTGGAGTAGCTTGAAAAAGACGCAAAAAGGGACCAGCACTCCGTACCAGATCTCCTATGCCCGGCTCTCTAGCGAAGTTGGTTAAACCTGACTTTCGCGGCGGCCGGGTGACGAATTCCTTGTGGTCCGGGTTCACTCCCGGGGGTAGGCAGAAAAGCCACATTTCTCCCAGATTAACGGTACCTATAATGGAATCAATGCCGAATCAATGCCGAAGGGTTGCGATATCCATAGTACCGAGCCAAAGGGTTTACAACTCATGGTTTCTGGAGACGTTAAAAAAAAAATTAAAAAAAAAACAGATCTCCTTAACGTTGGTACAGCCAGAAAACAAAATGTAGTGAGTTTACCCTTCTTATAGTTGCGGTGTCCGTGGCTTAGGCTTTGCAAGTCCGACTCGTGATTCCAACGTACCGCTATCGAAACCCACTGCTGCCTGTGTAGATTTTTTTATCCTGGCATGGCGATACGGCCCAAATTGGGTATAGGATGTATGTCCTGGGGAAGTAAAGACAGCCGGTGTAATGCTCCACATTACCCAGCTAGTGCCGATTGGTCTGTAAAAATATGGGTGCTCTTTCCATATACCCGATGCGCCTATTGGCGTAAAAAAAGGGATTTTTACATTACTTAATTACTTTATTTCCTATATATTCAGGCTCTGTTTTTGTTTTTACTTGCCATTAATATTTGATCAACCTCTAAACTTGCTGTCACTGTTGCACCAGTACGGGCTAGCAAACCAGCAACTGTTTCAGTTTCATTTCCGAAAAAAATTGACCACGTACAACAACAATACAATAACCCTTAAATAGACTCTTGTGATGTTGATTCGATCCTGCTTCTTTCTTAACCATTGATCGGCGACCGATTCGCCCATCGGCTGATCGATAATCGATTCGTTCGCCAATGGTTGTTCATTAATACAGACAGAGTTTAAATACATTTCACATGCCATGTCTGAAAAGAATACCCGACATACAGTGACAAGACAAGATCGCAAATCCCGAGGTATTGGAAAGATCAGGGATCACAACAGTTTTCTTAATGCCAAGTCCTCAAAGGCTCAGATGGCTAGGAAAAGCTTTAGAGGATAGAGGCTGGTAGAGTCCCTAAAAACATCGTCTGAGGTGAATTACATGTGGGTGGAAGACAGTGCAGTCGGTCTCTACTATGATTTAAAGAAGTGAATAAATAAGACATAAATAATGCAGGTGTTAATATAGATTCCTGCGAACAATATGCCATGGAACGTACTGCATGAAGGGTGGGGGGGGGGGGGGGGGGTCAAAGGGAAATGTGAATAAAGGACACAACGACTGCATTTAGGTTACAAACTGAGCGTATGTTAAGAAGCGCATTAAATACAGATAATTGCCTCAATGGTCCTGAAATGCAAAGCGCTAATTGTGGAAGACATATCTTGACTCGAGCGGGTTTTGCTTGCCACATTTGCCATGGCTACGTGCTGAGATTTCCATTTCTCCCACACAGCACAACACAGCGCAGCACAACACAACACAGCACAACACAACACAACCCAGTAAAACACAGCACAACACAACATAGCACAACACAACATAACGCAACGCAACACAGCACAACACAACATAACACAACGCAACAAAGCACACACACAACAAAGCACAACACAGCATAACACAACACAGCACAACACAACACAACTCAACACAGCACAACACAGCACAACACAAACAAGCACAACACAAAACAGCACAACACAGCACAATACGATCGTATAAAAAGACGGCAAAAGGTCGATAAACGAGCAAACACAAATAATATTAAGTAAAAAGACTCTTGTGGATACTGGATTGGCAACGCTACAGGACTGAGAGACGGAGTCAGTCCGGAGAAAAGAGTGGTTTCGTAGAATGTAGAGAGACCAAACTGTATTTGAGACCTTCTATAACATAAAAGCTGAGCGGACAGCAAGAGGAAGGCAGATAAAGACACAGATAGATAGTGGGTGTAGCTGAAACCTGAAAAAAAAACTATAAACAAAACCATCACTAATGTACCCGAGAAAGACAAAACAGAATTAGAAAACCTCGACACTGAGTTACTTGAACGTCGTAAAAGTGGGACGACAAAAGAAGAAAACAGTTGTATTAATTTCTAATTTTACCTAGATATCCTAATTGCACTAATTTCTTGTTTACCCTTGGTGGCATGCTTCTATTTTACGAATGATCATCTCTTCACCAGCAAATTCCGTAGTTCTACGACTCATCAAAGGAGACGAGATCTACGTGAAGACCCGTGGTGCTGCATCCGTTTTTGGGCGACCTGAAACAACTTATGTGGTCTTTAATGGATTTATCCTGGGTCTATTGAGCATCCCAGATGAATATCGAGACTGAGGCAGTTACCAGTTGGACAACATGAATGGGGCCTGCAACTGTTTGTGATACAGTAGGACCTCAGCAATAGAAATACACTGTTGTGCATGTATACTCTTGTGTTTTGTTTGTAGTTTTGGAATGACCGTAGTTCGGGATTTGCTAGGAGACAACAGGCAGACACACATATAACACACACACACGTGCGCGCGCACACTCACACACACGCACACATACTCACACACACACACAACAGGATGAGAGAGGTAAACGCCAACAAGTGTCACTGCTTGCATGAAGATGTGAGCCATAAGGGTGACTGCTTTGCTCACTGGCTTTGTTTGTTGAATGTTTGGTTGGCTGGTTGGGTGATTAGTTAGTTGGTTGTTTCGCTGGTTATTTGGTTGGATGCTTGGGTGATTAGTTAGTTGGTTGTATCGCTTGTTGTTTGGTTCGTTAGTTTGGTGATTAGTTAGTTGGTTGTTTCACTGGTTATTTGGTTGGCTGGTTTGGTGATTAGTTACTTGGTGGTTTCGCTGGTTACTTTGTTGGCTGGTTTGGTGATTAGTTAGTTGGTTGTTTCGCTGGTTATTTGGTTGGCTGGTTGGGTGATTAGTTAGTTGGTTGTATCGCTTGTTGTTTGGTTCGCTGGTTTGGTCATTAGTTAGTTGGTTCTTACGCTGGTTGTTTTGGTTGGCTGGTTGGGTGATTAGTTAGTTGGTTGTTTCGCTGGTTGTTTTGGTTGGCTGGTTGGGTGATTAGTTAGTTGGTTGTTTCGCTGGTTGTTTTGGTTGGCTGGTTGGGTGATTAGTTAGTTGGTTGTTTCGCTGGTTGTTTTGGTTGGCTGAATGGGTGATTAGTTAGTTGGTTGTTTCGCTGGTTGCCTGCACACAAGGCAATTTCGTTTATAAGAATCAAATGTGCAAATTAATTATCAACATGGATTTAAAGGGAAATGAATAAAGATTCTAAATATGTTAATTGGAGACACGTAGAATTAAAATTCACACTCTTTACTTGTCGAAAATGAGGAATTTTACTTTCTTGAAAAAGAATAGATTCACACAGAATAAACGAATTTGAAAACGATTAATACCTGTTCTACCACGAGGAAAGTAGACCGCAGGATCATTTGAACAGGCTAGATTCAAAATACAGAAGATATAACATGAACATAAATATTACTGAAACTGAAGTATTGCCCGCCTCTCTAGCGCAGTTGGCTAAACCGGATTGCGCGGTGACCGGGTGACGAACTTCTTGTGGTCCGGGTTCACTTCCGGGGGAAGGCAGAAAAGCCACATTTCTCCCCGATTTACGGTATTTATCACGGAATCAAGGCCGAAAGGTTGCGATATCCATAATACCGAGCCATAATATCATGGCTTCTGGACACTAAAGCAAACAAACAAACTGAAGTATTGCAGGTGATTAGAATTCCTAGTCCGCTACATACTGGATTGAATAGCACGCGTCTGAAGCAAGTTAGAGAACTTAAATATCTAGGAAGTATCACCACGGGGGACTGGGGAATGGATCGGGAAATGCAAACAAAATGCAAATTAGTCATCGCGCTAATATACCAACAGACACCGTTATTATGATATCGAAACATAAGTAGAAGTGCCAAGAAACAGATTATAAATAGCAAATTCATTCCAACACTGTGCTCTAATGCCAGACTTGATCATTATCAAAAGTTACCCTACGTTAAATTACCATCTGTGAAAGAGATGCCCAAGAAAAACTGTCAACATAACCATTCGAGACAAAGCTAGAAATGATATGATCAGACAGACTGTAGGAACAACACCATGCAGCAAATTTATTGAGAAACAGAAGATCAAATGGTTTGCTTATCTAGTAAGAATGCAGCCAGAACAACTACTAAAACCGGCGTTACACATGAAAAGATCTGAAGTGAAAACAAGAGATCACACTAGAAGATGGATTGATGACATTAATCGACCTGGAATGGCTATTTTTTTTTTTAAATATCCAGAAGCCATGAGTTGTTAACCATTAGGCTCAGTATTATGGATATCGCAAGCTTTCGGCCTTGATTCCATTGTTAATACCGTAAATCTGGGAGAAAATGTGGCTTTCCTGCCTACCCCCGGGATTGAACCCGGACCACAAGGAGTTCGTCACCCGGTCTCCGCGCACTCCGGTATAGCCAACTACGCTAGAGAGCCGGGCCTGTAATGGCAATAGCTATTGCTACCCATCAAGCAATGGATCACAAACTGGTCATCCCTACTACGCTTAACGGCAAATGTGGAAATTGGTGATGATGATGACGATGATGATGTATCTGTATTAGGCGTTGGTTTCGACAGTGGTATCAAGAAAGCCTACGGTCCAGAAAGCAATGACAAACTACTAGACGTAAATTTGCCTAGAGAAACCACACAACAGCCAGGGGCTGCTGGGGTTGGTTCTGTAACGTCGTGTAAAGGATACGCAACTAACTTATTAAAAGCAAGTCGGCTCTGTGGCTAAGTCGATGCGAACGCATGCGTAACTAACCTATTAAAAGCAAACAGACGACAATTGGTTTGACCAGGTAATAGTAAACATCTGGTTTTTTTTGTTATCATCACTGAGAAGAAACTCCTGACACATAGCGACCTTTCATCTGAAAGGTGAATTAGGCAAGGTCGCAGTCGAAGCGACCTAATTTCAAAGAAATCGAAACAGATACAAGTGTGCATGGCAGTTCTTAGAATTTACATACAGTACTTGGATTCTCAGACAGAGACGTGAGGTAAAGACAGTCAGCAGACGGTCCTCGTCTTTTATTCACCCCATTTCGGGGACTTCGAAATTTCGTAAGAAATTCCCAGGACAGTGGGATTTCAGTGTGAATTGCGGGACGCCTTTGTGGGGCAGTGGGTGTGGGGCGGGGGTGGGGGGTGGGGTGGGGGGAAGAGTCGACTAACTGGGAGCTCCTTTAGAGGTCAGTGTGAATCTTCCTGATGGTAAGTGAATCTTCCTAACTAACAATCTGCATACATTTGAGTCAGATCTGATGTTCTGGAATAGGGCTTTAATTCAAAAGTGGACAAACAAACATAACTCTACGCCCGAGTTTACAGCCGGTGAACACACACAAGAAGAAGAAAATGATGATGAAGAAGAAGAAGAAGAAGAAAAAGAAGAAGAAGAAGAAGAAGAAGAAGAAGAAGAAGAAGAAGAAGAAGAAGAAGAAGAAGAAGAAGAAGAAGAAGAAGAAGAAGAAGAAGAAAAAGAAAAAGAAACATACCACTGAAAAAAAACCCACTGTAATGGGGGATATTCTTACCCTAATTGGGAATGTTGGGGAAAAGCCCAAGGTTAACTAGAACATCAAGAGAAGCCAGATACTGGGATTAACAGAGGGTTTAAAGGTAGGAAACGACCACGTATTATCACGTGGAACCCAAGGAGAACGACCACATGTTGCCACCTGGAACGAACACTGGGTATATGTTCAGACCCCAGTCTGATCAGACAGTATGTGTTGACCGTCAGAACGAGAGGACGTGAGAGTGATCGAGTGAAAGAGAACGTGAAACTGATTGCTGTAAGATGAAGACCAGACGACAAGATCCATCGAAGTAAAGTCCAGCCAAGTCAGGTGTGAAACTCGATGCAATGACGAGATCCATCTATGCGGAGTTGGGGAGTTGAAAACGCAGAACTCTGATTGGTGAATGTGTAAGAGTCAGCGTGTTGGCGTCTGAACAATGTCTTGCGTGAGAGCTGTTGATTAGGACATGGACAGGACAATCGATGTATGTGTTTAGATGTCAATAAACAGTCTTGTATCTGGGAGACGGTGTCGACTTGTAACAGCAATGCCAGCCTAGAATGTGAGTAATATCATCCTGTAGACACATCATCTCCTAGACAACTAGGCAAATGTCAGAACACGAGTATTACGTGTGAACACGACATATTGCAACACACAATAACAATTGGTATTGTCAAACAATGTATATTTAACTGTACACCATGATACAGAACACAAGAAAAAAAAAAACAATTAAAAAATACCAGTAATGCAACATGCACATCAAATAATATGTGAATCAACATAGAAAAGACAGAACTAATATCAATAAGAAGAAATAGGCAGGATTTAAACATAGCATTAGAGCATACATATATTAAAAAGTCATCTGAGTCTAAATAACTTAGAACAACCTTCAATAAAAATGGTAAACTGGACGAAGAAATTTACATCCGATGAAGTAAAGCAGGTCAAGTATTGGGACAACTCGCTCCCTCTTACAACCTAAGGCAATCTAAGTCAGCACTAGGAAACATCTCATACAAAACATATTCATCCCCACTGTATGATATCAGTCAGTGCCAAACGTGGTCACTCACAACAAAACATAATAGAAATTTGGTAACCACCGAATGAGATGCATGAGAGAGACTGTACTAGTGACCAGAAAAGATGCATTTAGGAATGATGTAATGCAAGATAAAGTCGGCACAGAACCAATTCTAAATTACATACAAAGAGAGCCAAATCAAATGAATTGCCCACTTAGAATGCCTACGCCTACTGATGCTACGCCATACAAGCTACATATAAAAAGCTAAGGGGGACGTAGAGCAAGAGGTAGACCTTCGAGGCGGTAAAAGAGGACGTAAAGAAGAAGAGAAAAACTGAAAAAGTCGAACTCAGGCTTTAGAAATATATATATATAAATATATATATATATGTATATATATATATATATATATATATATATATATATATATATATATATATATATGTATGTGTGTGTGTGTGTGTGTGTGTGTGTGTGTGTATTACATAAATACATATAACGTATTTTGTGGAAACGAAACAAACGATTGGGTAATAATAATAATGATATTAACCTTCAGCACTCCGAGCCCTTGAAGCTCACTAGGGCAGTTATCACCTCAACTGATCTCTGGGATTAGTCCTCCGTTTCCATTTGATGACTCTAAAGGTAGCCAGGTCTGCCTGTATTTTATCTCTTAATCAACTTCTAGAT